TGAACTGCTGTATGAAAAGTGAATTTACTCTGTAAATCTTCACCCAAATCCTAATAAAAAAAAAAAAAAAGCTTGCAAGCAGCCATTTAGATGCAACGATGGGTCTCTCCTAGTCCAGAGCAAAGAAGAATGAAGAAAACCAAAGACATATGGAAACAATTAGTACAAGGAACTGGTAGACTATGCAATCCTCAGCCTATATGACCATGAGACCAGAAGATAGTGCCTGGCTACCACTGTCAAGCAGTCAGAGGAGGATTGGTACAGGGAATCCTGGATAGAGTAGGAAGATAATGTGCAACAAAACTCAAAATCATTAAAAAAAAAAAAAGACCAGGTTTGCTGGTCTGACAGAGCCTGGTGAATCTCCTGAGACTATGGCCCCTAGCCACCCTTCAGGTCTGGAATTGAACTCACTCCTGTGGCTTCCAGACAAACAACAGATAGGCATATGGGGTTAACATTTACATCAGGTAGATACACTCCTTGGAGTGACCAATCATGAGAGAACAGAAGGGCAGTGTTTGCACAGGGAGATAGCTTGGGGGGAGGAGGGGTGTGCATGGGAAGAAAGAACACAGGGAAGAGGTAACTATGGGGAGGAAGTGGGATGAGAGCTGTTATATTGTGGGGAATTGCAGTCAATGTTATGAAACAAAATGTGTATGAACTGCTGTGTGGAAAGTGAATTTCCTCTGTAAACTTTTACCCAAATAACAGTAAAAATTGGAAAAAGAAAATATATACACACAATGAAATACTACTCAGCCATAAAGAGAAATGAAGCTTTGATACCCACCACAACATGGATGAACCTGAGAACACCATGCTGAGCAAAATAAGTCAGAAAATGACAAATCTTATATGATCCCACTTACATGAAATAATAAAATATATACAACCCAAAGATCTTTAGGGGGCATTGAGGTTATGTTAATAATGGTGGAATGAGTCTGAAAAGGATGGTGAGAATGGCTGCACTACTTGAAGAACGTAATCAACATCACTGAATGTACACACCGAAATTATCAAGTTAGCACGTTTTGTTAAGTATTTTTTCCACAACAAAATTTGAAAAAAAAAAGGAGAAAGCAGAAAGGCAAAATAAAGGTAGGTGTTCAGCTGGAAGCATGTTAAACAAACAGAGGGGGTAGCAGGGATAGAACATCAGTGTATTAGGATTCATTTAAGCACAGAGAATATTAGTTTCAGGGGTATACACTGCTGCATTTGTAAAACAAAAAAGACCAATTTGAGATCACTTTTAGCTCTGTGTTTTATGAAATGCTATTATTACTAGTTTTTTGTAAAGCCAAGTGGTATCTCTCTACTGGTTCACGCCCCAGTCAGAAGGCTAGCTGATAACAGTCTTAAAAAAACCAAACTCACTGCTATGGAGTCGATTAGACTCATAGCAACCCCTCCTTGGGTTTCCTAGGCAGTGTCTCTATGGAAGTAGATTGCCCCATCTTTCTTCCAAGGAGTGGCTGGTGGGTTTGAACTCAAGCCTTCTGATTAGGAGTCAAGTGCCTTAGGCACTACACCACCAGAGCTCCTGGAAAGAGTCTTAAGGAGGCATAATGATGATGAGGCCATGTCAGAAGCTGAGTGCCACTGGGCCATCTACCCGCCCCCACCCCCACCCCCAAAGCAATAGACAGCAAGTCCAGTGGATCATTCTGCTTCAAACCAGCCCTTCCACATTCAAATCCACAAATACGTCCTACTATGTGCTAGTACTCTGGGCCCTATTCACTAACCAAAACAGCCTTTTTAAAAGGAAAAATTGATCATCCAACTCCACTTTTTAAAATTTCTTTTACATTTGCTTTTCTTGGCTTGATCACGATGGATACACATCACATAGCTGTTTGGCACTAGGTCTTCTGGCTTCATCTCCTGATCCTCCTCAGCATGTATCTCATACTTGAGACATACAACTCTGACTGTCTGCAGCTAAGCCTCCCCCAACATACACACACACCTCTTTGCAGCTGTTGCTAGCTGCCATCAAGTCACCTGACTCATGGCAACACTATGCACAACGAAATGAAATGATGCCTGGCCCTGAGCCATCCCCATGATTGGCTGGGGATTCGACCATTGTCATCTACAGGGTTTTCACTGGCTGATTTTCAGAAGTAGATTGCCAACCCTCTCTTCTTAGTCTGTCTTAATCTGTAAACTCTGCTCAAGCCTATTCAGCATCATAGCAACACACAAGCCTCTACGGACAGGTGAGTGATGGCCACACATGAAGTCACTGGTTGGGAATCAAACTTGGGTCTCCAGAATGGAAGGTCAAAATTCTACCACTGAACCACCAATGCCCCTCTTAACCTTTGTTGATGTCATCTCTCATTCAAAACTCTGCTTGAGTACCCATCTTTTAAGGGGCTTTCTAATAATCCCCCTTTCTCTTGAGTTCCCATATTTCCTTGGGGGCCACTTCTATCATAATCCTTACCATACTGCATGGTAACTATTGATTTTCCTCTCTTTAACTGCTACACTGTCTGTGATATTGTAAGCAAACATCAAATGCCTAAGGCATTTGACTGCTAACCAGAAGCCTGGTGGTTCAAACCCCGCTGCCACTCCTCGCAAGGAAGATGGGGCAATCTACTTCCGTAGTGATACCGCCTCGGAAACCCAAGGAGGGGTCGCTATGAATCAGGTCTGACTTGACGGCTCCTAACAACAACAACATGGTACAGTCCTACTCTGCACACATGGGTCACAATGAGTTGAAATTTATTCAACAGCAACCAACACAGCTTTCTTCTCCGTTCCCAGATATGGCTCTGCTTGGCAAGAATGCTGCAGTTCTCCTTCATATCTAGCAAGAAGGCCTCAAAGAGGAAAAAGAACAGAAAGTTCCTTACCTTACCAGTGCAAGTTCTAACTGAATTCCAATCTGTAAGAGTCATCAGTAAACCTGAGTGGGGCATGCACATTTTCCTTTTCTTGCCTGCTCCCCTGAGATGCACAATAATGAATATCCTCAGTAGGAGAGTGAGAGCTCCATCAGTTCTGGCCACCCAGAGAGGGAGCTCTGGTTGGTCAGATATTTTTTAACCTTATGTTCTTTGGCACAGCTCTAAAAATGCACATGCCCAAAGTTCAACAGCATCCTCTCCAATTAATAATCAGAACTCTCTTCTATAGCAGTTAAATTCACTTGGATTTCGTCTAGCAGATATGTTTGTTCAAAGAGTACATGGACTAAGCTTAAAACTCACCTTTCATACTTTTCTGGATACTGTTACTTCCCTTTAAAAGTTTAGACCATTTTATTGCTCTTCTAGCGAGTACTACCAGATAGTCAGAAAAAAATTCTTCATAAGATGCATAATCAAAGTCTTCAGGCCTTTCAAATCCATATGGGTCAATCCTTCAAGAAAAAACAAAAACTGTAGACCAATAATAAAATTGCCTTATTAAGACACACATGTGACCTGTTGATATAAAATCTAGTTCCGGGACACACTACCAGAATATACAGTGTACAGGCATAAAGACTCTAACCTTCCTCGTCCACTCACCACAAATTTTCTCAGCCAAGCAACAGTGTTTTTAAGAACACAGGAAAGGAAAGGGACAAGGAGCTTGCGTGGGAAAAAGCTACAGCACGGTGACTTCAGAGAACCAGCCAATAGTTAACTGTAACCATTCTTAACCGTAGAGGAGCGCCACCGAAAAAAGAAGAGAATGTGCCCTGTGAGAGGGAGCGCTCCCTGCCAGTCACTGGTCACGGCGAAACCACACCGCCGACCCTGAGAGCCCTGGCTGTGCGCCCCTGGTCCCTCCCCAGAGGGCTACAGGAGGAAAATGGTTTTGCAGACCACGGCGCATTGGTTGCGATTCGCAGCCATGGACAGTACGAGTCGCTCGAATCAGCGCCAGCAGGGGACGTGGCTCGATACACACGCACCTCGCTGCAGGCTCAGCGACCATTCACAAGCCGCCTGGGACAGCATAGTCTCCATAGGCGCCGCGGCCCCGCTCCACGCAGGAGGAACCCCGCCACCTACCTGGGGACCCGGTCCCGCGCTGCTTGCAAAGCCGCGCCTTCGCGGCGCCTCTGCTCCGCTGGCGCAGGGTCCATGCCGCGGGGGCTCACGGGGAGCAGCGAGGAGGGGGCGCTCTCCGCCGGTGGGGGCCCGGGGCCAGCGGGAGGGCGGCAAGGGGAGCCCGGGGATAGAGGAGGCGCTTTGGGCCGTGAGCTGGGCAACCCCGCCCCGTGCAGTCCGGCCCGAGTCCTCAGCGGCCGCGGCGGCCCCTCCGGGAGCCAGGCGGATCCGAGGACGCCGGGGGTTGAGCAGATCCAAAGTTCATCTCCCGAGACTCCGGGAGCTCTTCGTCTCCTTCCGGGCCCGCAGCGGCCGCCAGGAGGCGGTGCGAGGCGGCTAGACGCCGAACCCGGGTGCGCCCGAGTAGGGGGCAATCGCTGCTGGGGCGTCTGACACAGCCTTTGCGCACTCCACGCGGCCCCCTGGGCGCCTCAGTGCTCGCAGGCGGGCGGGGGCGGGAAGCAGCCGCTGCACCTGCTTCCGCGGCACCTGGAAAGGCAAACGTTAACAACGCTACCACCAGAAGTTCCCTAGGGAGCTGGAGCGTAGCTCCCGTGGCTTGGGCTGGGAGCCTGAGCTCTTCCCAGTACAAGTCTGCTGTCCCGCTCCCCCGGCCTGGGCCGTCAATCTCGCCTGGGGGAAGGGAGGAGGCCGCGGGAGCTGGGAGTGCGAAGTGGGGGCGGCGAGATCCGGACAAGGACAGCACTCACAGGGCGTGGGGTGCGGGGAGGATGCGGGCTAGTCATACGTAGGAGAGATATGGCAGACCTCGTCCTCCTGGGGCTGGGCACGGGCCCCTGCGTCCAGGCTTTTGTTTCTTAGGCCTTGGTTTACCGGCTGTTCGGTTGGCAATAGGTTCAGCTCTGCAAGCCTCCTGCGGCCTTGGAGCAGGGTGAGGTGGATCAGCAAAGGTTGGGAGGAAATAAACCTAGTGTTTATTCTCACTAAATTGCTTAAAATTGTAGTGCCATGCTAGTCAAAAGGCAAATCGAAAACGCCAGTTTTGACGTTTGACTCCTATTTTTCTTCTCTTTGTACAGAAAATTATAAGCTCTTAATTTTTATTTGCTTCCCTTCAGTCTGCTTTTCAGAGCTAAAACAGCACGTAAATTCTAATTTCATAGGCCCTGCACTAAGGGCCCTCTGGGAAGCAACCACCTAGGGAAAACTTGCCCTGTTTCTACCATCTCAAATACACCCCCGAGGCTTTTAGCTAAATGCCCAAAACAGAAAGAAGAAAGGAAGCGGTGAATTACATTTCTCCTGCCTCCACACCCTTAATCAAATCCTAACTCTGCCTGTAAGCCAGGCTTTGGAAAATTACAAACCTTGCCAGAAAACCACATTACGGGTAAAATTAGCTAGCTATGGTTACTTAAAGACCAGCAGATGGAGTTTCTGAAAGATTAACTGCAGGTCCACTGCCCGAGAAGCCTCAAGAAGAGTTTGTTAGGATTGATATGCTCAGGATCACTCTCCCCAGCCCCAAAAATTAGGGAAGGAAAGGAAGGCTCCATTGCTTTAGCTGCAGTCTTTCCCAATTCTATTGTTTCCAAGTCTTGGGATCATGAGTCAGAACTCAGGGTACTCAATGAAATTTAATGTTAATATGATCATATAGCTTCATTTGACTTTTACTTAGGGGGGAAAAGTGCTGTCAAAAATAAAACACACACCTCAATAACAAAAAAAAAATTAAAAATGGGCAAAAGACATGAATAGACACTTCACTAAGGAGGATATTCAAGCGGCCAACAAACATATGAAGAAATGCTCATGATCATTAACTATTAGTGAGATGCAAATCAAAACAGCAATAAGATACCATCTTGCTCCAGCACTAGTAGCAAAGTTCAACAAGACAGAAAATAACAAATGCTGGCAAGGTTGTGGAGAGATTGGGACTCTCATACACTGCTGATGGGACTGTAAAATGGTACAACCATGGTGGAAAGCAGTATGGCGATTCCTTCAAAAGTTGGAATTAGAAATACCATTTGACCCAGCCATTCCATTACTAGGTATATACCCTAAAGATGTGAGAGCCATGACAAGAACAGATATATGCACACCCATGTTCATCGAAGCACTATTTACAATAGCCAAAACATGAAAACAACCTAGGTGTCCATCAACTGAGGAATGGATAGCCAAACTATCCATGGTACATACACACAATGGAATACTATGCAATGCTAAAGAATAATGTAGAATCTGCAAAACACTGCATAACATGGATGAACTTGGAGGACATTATGCTGAGTGAAATAAGTCAATCACAAAAGGACAAATATTGTATTAGTCCGTTATTTTAAAAGTTAAGGAAAGGTTATCTATAAAAGGAAATTTTCTTTGTTGGTTACCAGGGGTGGGAGGGGAGGGGAGGAAACACTGTTAGATAGAGATAAGTATTGATTTGGGTGAAGAGAAGGGCAATGTACCAAATTTGAGTGACCAATATGGCAGCACTGAGGATGAGAAAGACAGAGAGAGGTACATGGGAGGTACAGACACAAATATGAACCCTTTTGCACATACAGTACTGCATTGTCAGTGAAGGCAAACATGGGTATATGGTGGATAGTTGAGTGGACAGGCTAACGATTAGGTATGTCTATGAAATGGGGAGTGTATCCAAGAACATATATAGGGTTGGCAGACAATGGTCCTATAAGTTTATGTGAATGATCAGAATTCCCAGGTGTATAGTAGAGCTGACAAGGGGCAAGGCTGTGGTCACTGCTTGGTCACAGCCAGCGACCCAGAGGGACTGAGTAGTTGAAGCTGCGGGCGTGGGACCATAGTCGCAGGGGACATCAAGCTCAATTGGCATAACATACTATACAAAATATTGTTCCACCTCCTACTTTGGCGAGTAGCGACTGGGATCTAAAAAGCTAGCAAGCTGCCATCTAGATGCAACGATGGGTGTCTGCTTGTCCAGAGCAAGAAGAATGAAAAAAAACAAAATTCATGGAAACAATTAGTCCCAGTAACTGGTACACCATCTGATCTGCAGCCTATGTGATTATGAGACCAGAAGAACTAGATGGTGCCTGGCTACCACTGTCATCCACTTGGAAGGGGATCTATGTAGGAGATCCTTGATAGAGAGGGAGAACAATGTGGAACAAAACTCAAAATCATTTGGAGGAAAAAAAGGGGGGGGGAGACCAGATTTGCTGGTCTGATAGAGCCTGGTGGAACCACTGAGACTATGGCCTCTAGCTGCCCTTCAGGTCTGGAATTGAACCCACACCTGTGGTTTCCAGCCAAACAAAAGACAGGCATATGAGATGAACATTTACCTCAAGTAGATACACTCCTTGGAGAGAACAATCATGGGAGAAAGAAGGGCTGCTCATGCACAGGGAGACAGCTCAGGGGGCAGGAGTGTATGGAGGGATGGACATTGGGAAGAGGTAACTATGGGGAGGAAGTGGGAGGGGAGCTGTTGCATTGTGGTAAACTGTGGTCAATGACATGAGACACAGTGTATGAGAACTGCTGTATGGAAAGTGAATCTGCTCTGTAAATCTTCACCCAAATCACAATTTAAAATAAAATAAAATAAAACAAAACACAGTAGCTACAAAATTTGTGTGCTAAGCGTCCATCCTTTACATTCCAGGGCAGTCTTGATTTTGAGTATTATGGTCTTCATAAACCATTAAAATGCCCAGAGATTTCAGTATTTTGGCATTGTGGTAGTTAAGGTTGTGTGTCAATTTGGCTGGGCCTGGTTGAGTGGCTGGGTAGTTGATGGTAGTTATTCTCATGATGAGACTGGCAACCAGCTCCATGGTGGAATCTACCACAAGCAGCTGAGTAGCTGTTATAGGGACGTGATCTGCTTCTTGTATATATGAAGTAGCTTTGGGAATGGTCTCTAGCTTTTTGGCAGGCTTGAACCCCACGTGTAGCCAGGTCATTGTTCAGCAGCCTGCCATGCCCTGCCGATCTTGGGACTTCTGGATGTGAATTAGTGGCCTGTCATGTGGTTTGGTAACACTGAAACTGTGCCTTTGTGCTTGTCGACTTTGGGTTTGTCAGCCTCAGCAGCCAGCAGCTGTCTGAATGAAGAAAAGCCTCCAGCTTCAATGGGCTGGGAGCAGGAGGCAGAGCTGAAGCCCAAGGTTGAAAGGCTTTCACCCAGTTCCTAGAGCCTGGCACTTTGAACTCGGACTTAAAACCTCCAAACTGTAAAAAAATAAACTACTGTTCGTTCAAGCCATTCCTTCTGGGGTATATTACTGTCAAAGCAGCACTAGGTAACCAGAACAGGCATGAAAACCATATCTAAACTTCTCCTATGAGAAACTGGCCAAACTATTTTGAATTTTGTTTTGGAGAGGTGGTATTGTAAAAGGGGTGATCTTAAATTTTTACCACATCCCCCACTCCCAAGGGTCTTTTTATTTTTGAATGGATACAGAACAGTTGGCAAATTAGATTTAGTGTAGAAAGGCACCTTCTTTAATGCAAATGTCTTGTTAACAAATTAATGGTGGTCAGGACCCCTAGTCTGATCTTTATCCAGGCTACCTTTGATAAAAATGTTTTTCTGAGACCCCAAATGCATTTTCTCATTAAGGAAGCCATAAATCATGGCTAGATGTGAGAAAAATAGTATTATTAGCATTCTACTTCAGAGCCTTTGTGAACTAGCTTGGAATTTTAACTGTTTATCAAGAATGTCCCATCTGAGAGCTAAAGAAGAATCTGAGAAGTACTTTGTAGAACACACCTTGCCTTTATAGTAGGGACAACTGTTTGCCAATTTTTACCCTTTTCTATACCCTAAAGGAGCTCTACTGTTGCAGTGGGTAAGGCATTTGGTTACTGACCAGAAGGTCAGAGGTTCAAACCCACCAGCTGCTCCACGGGAGAAAGATAAGCCAATCTACGTCTATAAAGAGTTACAGCCTTGAGAACCTAATGGGGGTCACTGTGAGTTGGAATCGACTCAGTGGCAGTGGGTTTGGTGTTTTGGTTGTATCCTGAGGGGTCCCTGTGTGGCACAAGCAGTTTGTGT